GAATTCAGACACGTAGGCCCGAAGGTAATTTTTTTCGACTTTTCGAACGGAGTTGGAAAATTATTATAGATTGAATTGTTATGAGTATTAGATTGTATTTTTATTGGTTTGCACATTGTTTGGCTAGTTTTGGAGCATTGGGCATCGGTTTGAGGTGTTACAGTGGCGTTGGAGCCGGTTATGGAACTTCGGAGCGAGGTAAGTCACTTGTCTAACCCTGTGAGGAGAAAATTACCCCTAGGTATTGTAATTTGATGTGTGCTACTTATTGTGGGGGCTACGTACGTGCTAGGTAACGAGATCCCCTACGTAGATATATTCATGTTATTGTCCGGGTAGGCTTAGGTTCACATCATGCTATAGTTGTCCTATTTGAGCAGTCTCTCGCCTATTAAATTCCTCTGTGTTACATTATTACGTGAGACGAGACGGAATATTGTAGAGACTTCACGAGTTTATGATTAGTCATTGAATAATTGTACTCCTCTTACGAAAAGATTCCGCAATATATATATATATNCACTCTCATGGGAGCGGGTTTTTCACCTCGGCAGGTTAATAGATGCATTTATGGTTCGTGACGTTCGACCCTGGCAGTGTACAGTTTAATTATTATGTTGGATCGGGTCGTACGCCTCAGCATTTCCCATATCATATCCTCATGGAATCATACGTAATATTCGGCAAGAAGCCAATGTATCCGTGAGCTTTCCGGATTTGAATTATGATAATCTACTTGATGAGGTCCACTATACCTATATGTGTGCTCCGGTTAAGGAGAGAATTTCTAATGGGAAGCTTGAGTTCATTGTAAAGAGTGAAATTTGTATCACATATTTTATGCTTATTTAATTCATTTATTTACTCTGCCTCATATTTATTTACCTATTTACTATACCTGATGTATTGGACCACTAGTGAGTGTCGATGTCGATGTCGATCCCTCGTTACTACTCTTCCGGGATTAGGCTAGATTCTTACTAGGTACACGTTATTTTCGTACTCATACTACACTTGCTGTACATTTTATTGTATAGGCACATGTATGTCTAGTGGCCTTGTGGGCGCAACAGCGTGGTTGATGCGGGACTTAAGTGAGCTGTATTTGTATTCCATGTTACGATCCGCAACCAGCAGAGTCTCCTTCAGAGTAATTGTATTTATCTTTCCTGTCTAAATTTGTATTCCGGATAGATGTTGTGTTTTATTTTATTTCCTAGTTGATGCTCATGCACTTGTGACATCGGGTTCTGGGATGATTATGGGCTATTCAGCATTTAAATTTGTTAAAAACATTATTATTTACTCTGTAAAGTTCATCATTTACTATCTAATTGAAGGAAATTATAACCACAATAACTACCCAGTATAATCCCACCAAGTGGGATCTGGGGAGGGTAGGATATACGCAGCCTGTTTCGGAATGACCTTTGGCTAAAGAAGGTGAAGGAAGCCCTTATAGCAAGTGAATGCAAGACAAATAGTTAGAAAATTAAATCGGAAATAACAACAAAGAATAGCAAGATAGTATCGATAACAAGTAATATCAAGATAGTATACTTAGACAGATAAGTCCAAGGCAACACACGAGAATATGACGAAGTCCTGCTAGCAAACTACGGAATTACCAAAGGCAAGTAGTAACAGAACAAGACACGCGGCTATAGCAAACTAAGGAAATAAGGGTACCATACTAGCACTAATACTATCGAACTAGGGAAGACAAAGGGAAATGTCTGACTACCTACTAACTTTCCACCCTAACCTTCCACCTCCACACCCTTCTATCTAGGGTCATGTCCTCGGTCAGCTCAAGCTGCGCCATGTCCTGTCTGATCACTTCACCCCAAGACTTCTTAGGTCTACCTCTACCCTTCCTTTCACCTCCCAAGGCCAAACCTCTCACATCTCCTGACTGTGGCATCTGTGCTTCTACTCTTAACATGCCCAAACCATCTCAACATTGCCTCACGCATCTTTGCCTCCACAGGGGCTACCCCCACCTTGTCCCGAATAACTTCATTCCTAATTCTATCCAATCTAGTATGCCCACACATTTCCATTACTTTCATATGCTGGACATGTGACTTTTTGATTGGCCAACACTCTGCCACATACAGCATAGTCGGTCTGACCACTACCTTGTAGAACTTACCCTTAAGTTTCGACGGCACATTCTTATCACACAAGACACCGGAAGCGAGTCTCCACTTCATTCATCCTGCTCCGATACGGTGAGTAACATCCTCATCTATTTCCCCATTCATCTGAATTATAAATTCCAGATATTTGAAACTCTCTCTCTTGGGAATGACTTGCGTATCGAGTCTTACATACCCGTCCGCCTTTCAAAAATATTAAAATGAGAACTAAATTAATTTTTTGGTGTTGGAATGTCTGACAGTGGTATCCGGCGTTATCACAACCTTTAATGGATTGTGGGTCGTGACACTGTTTGAATCAACACAAGTTACACAACCATACTCACATATTCTGTAACTTAATTAGGAGAGATCAAGTAATGGTGTTTCTATTTCTATCACCTGTCTGACCCTACTCTACGAATGGATACAATTGCTTTCTATGTTGAATGAAGATTTCCAGGTTACATCAGAACTTTTTGGGCAGATTCAAACATGTGCAAATGTTGTGACATTGACATAATCAACGACTTCTCATCATTTGAATTGAATAATTTATAGCAAATGGATCAAAATGTTAACATTCACAACCATGTCTTACTGATAAAAATAGGATAAGCATACTTATACAAGCTACCACCATTCTCATCGTGACAAGCTATAAGAAGAGATACTCCAAAAGGTCTAGACCGCAAAAATCAGATCTATCATAATTGCAAATTTTGAGAGGTTGTATTTTTACACATGTTAAAGGATAAAATCAAGATGCTGCAACCTGATATCTCAAGATATACCCAATTTTTGGGTCACTATTAGTGTCATATATGTATTGCATAAAAATTATAAATTTATCCACTTTGGAACAAACTTCAAACATACGCACCTGAAATTTCAAAAAATTTGTGTCTGAAGTTGGGAGGTCATGACTGATGCTTGAAGTTTAGGTATTTTTTGTGAACTTCAATCATAAATGGTTGAAGTTCATGAAAAAATGTCTGAACTTTAACCATATGTCTGAAGTTCATAAAAATACCTAAACTTTAACCATATACGTCTGAAGTTCATTCAAAAATACCTGAACTTTAACCATATATGTCCGAAGTTCATAAAAAATGTCTAAACTTCGAGCTATCAAAGAAAATAAAACGGGAAAGAATAATAGTATTGTGTGATGATTGTATCTCTAATTGAATCCATGGTTTGAGAGGCTGGTATGCAATCTATTTTAGATCTGAAGAAAATTGTTACTGAACATAAAATTATTTCCTTTAAATGCTGAAATTTGCTTGCTTAGCCAAACTTTTGGACAGATAAGTCTGGACTTGGAAATACAAAGGCTTGATTGCCAACACATATTTCGTCCTCTGGATTATCTATCAACAATATCACCTATAGATAAGATTAGGAATGAAGATATTCGAGAGAAGGTGGGCGCTGTTCCCATGGAGGGCAAGATGCGGGAAGTAAGACTCAGATGGTTCGGGCACATTTAGAGGAGGAGCACTGATGCACCGGTGAGGAGGTGTGAGCGACTGGCTGTAGTGGGCACGCGGAGTGGTAGAGGACGACCTAAGAAGTATTGGGGAGAGGTGATCAGACAGGACATGGCGCGACTTAGGATTACTGAGGACATGGCCCTTGACAGGGAATTATGGAGGTCGAGCATTAAGGTTATAGGTTAGGGGAAACTTGTGAATATTTCTACAGCACAATAGAGTGAGACTAGCCAGTTAGGAGTTAGACTAAAAATGTCATTGGTCGTCAATTGATGCACGGCTTTACCTGCTAGTTTTACTATATCAGTCATCTATTTCGTATTTCGTATTCTGTATTTCATATCTCTTATATTGTTGTTATTTTATTATGCATTTTTATGGTACTAATATATCGGCTCCTGTTGCTTTTTTTGAGCCGAGGGTCTCCTGGAAACAGCTTCTCTACCCTTCGGGGTAGGGGTAAGGTCTGCGTACATATTACCCTCCCCAGACCCCACTTGTGGGATTATACTGGGTCGTTGTTGTTGTTGTTGTACTATCAGCTATAGTATGTTTCTCTTTACTAAAAAATAGGTCATGAAGAGTGTAAGCTCCAACAGAAGAGGATGGTCCATCCCAGAGAGCTTTTGCAAATTGTTCATGTATGCCTTCTGTCGGGTGAAATTAATCAAACCATATATAGTCTTTAGCATTATCGCAAATCTCATATTCAGTAACCTATTTAGTCCCACCACATGTATTTTCACCTCCATAAGGCCTTGTTCCACAGCAAGCCTTCACTCCTTCCTTGAAACCTAAATAATGGCGATTTAAAAAAAAAAAAAAAAAAAAAAAAAAAAAGTAGGTCGGTGTGCTAAGCTCCTGTTATGTGCAGGGTCCGGAAAAAGCGCTAGAGCCTGTTTCCACGGCTCGAACCTGTGACCAACAACTTTACCAATAAGGCTCCCTTCAAAAATTAATTAATAGAATGCCAACAATAAGCTAGCTAGTAGGGTAAATGGTAGAAAGAGGATACATACCATACTTTGTGGGATTGTTAACTCTATCGAGATCTATTCGTAAAAGTCGGAGTTGCAATACCTAGAGCCCGTTTGGACATAAGAAATTTTTTACTTTTTAAAAAAAAAAAATCACTTTATTTCGAAATCAGCATTTGGTCATAATATTTTCAATTTTCACTTGAAGAAAAATTCAAAAAATTGTTTTTCAAAATTTTCAATTAGATTACTCACAAAATTTTAAAAACAACCCAAAATTATATTTATGTCTAAACACAACTCTTATTTTCAAATACCATTTTTACTTCAATTTTTTTTCCCACTTTTTTCTTGGAATTTTACAATTTTTATGCCCAAACGCCCACTTAAAAGTCTTGCAGTATATGTTGAAGAGCATTGTTATGCGCCAATGCAAGATCAGAAGCAGCTTCAAAACAACCTCCTCCTGGATTTAGTGCTCTGAGAGCTGGTAAGCATCCCAATGGCGACAAGCTTAGGAAACCAAATTTTCTGGCGCCTTTCTCATACAATTCCTTGTCATTGAAATATTGTATATAAATACAATTTTAACCAACAACATATAAAAGGAAAAAGAAAATTTCTTGTAGTTTACTTTAATTACCTGAGTCAAGTTGCCAACGACCATCCCTAGATATTCTTCAGGACCGTGGAGTTGCTGGCTGCATTTTTTCGTTAACCCCCCCATGTAATCGTTACTGATGAAGTTCCGATATGACTTCCTCTGCTCCCAAACCCCCCCATGTAATCGTTACTGATGAAGTTCCGATATGACTTCCTCTGCTCCCAACTTTTCTGTTAGTGATTTTCGCACTTGTTCAAACTACTTTAATTGTCTCTCCAGATCAATAACCTGGTACTTAAAATGCTAATGCCCATACCAAACCAGGATGAGTGGTAGAAACAACTCCAGCTCCTCCAGAAGCAAAGTTAACTCCATTGCTGAAATCAGCAATATGGGATTAATCCATTTTTTATTCATATTAAATATGGGTCAGGAAAGGGAGTCTTCGAGCAACGGTTAAGATCTCTTCATGTGACCCGTAGGTCATGGGTTCGAACTGTGAAATCACCTAGTATATAGAGTATTGCCGTTTTCCTTTCCACTAAAAATGCCTCTACAACTAATTAAAATTAAAAGTAAAATTTTGACCCACCTATATGCAGCCGTACAATTCTCATTTTCAAAGGGGAATGAATCCACTGCTGGATTTTTCTCGTGCTCTTTTCTTTAAAAATCAAAAGTCGCCGGACCTTTAACCAGTAAATTAGCACGCAAAAAGCGAATATATGAAGGAGGGGACATAATACCTGACCTCATCGAAAACTAATTAAGTTTGAATTGTACATACACAATTTTTAAAGATATGGTGCAAAGATCTATGGTGCGTGGAAATACTATTGTATGTATAATTAGTCTAATTACATCTTTCTAAATTAGTCTACTAGAACTAACTTGTTACACCCTTTTGAGGTACAGCTCATGGTATACAAAAAAAAACTACTTTTAGTTTGCATAATCCTTAAATTATACCAATCTGTCCTGCAAGCTTCAATCCTTCATTACTCAGTGCGAAATTAGCTTCTCTGACAATATTGAAGCTGCACATATTCCAAAACCTTCAGCTTACCCCTTAATGCTTTCATTTACTGATATAAGATTCCAAATGGCGGGTCCGATTTAACATGGATCTAATTAGTTTTAGTTTCAGCACATTCCTTTACTGAAAGGTGATGCAAAAGCTGCTATTAATTCCAGTATATGATCTAATAACACCACCTCCTCCACGTAGTCCCCGGTTCCTGTTTGAGCTCCCATCTGTGTTGGCCTTGAATAGAGTCTAAGGAGGACGCGTCCAATGCTATATTGCTCGGACTCTCCGAAAATATCAATAGGTGCATGTCGGATTCTGCTTGGGTCTAAATTTCGGAGCAAGCAGTGGGTGAGTGAGAGATTGGCTGCAGGTTCATAGTTTGGAGACCCAAGGTAGTCCTGTTGGCGTCCGCAAGCCCTGACGTCCCCTTCTACATTTTTGTTTTTCTTTCCTATCAAACAGATGTAATTTCTTTCAGACCAATATTTGTAGTAATTCATAGTATGTTCGTGGATTGTGACGAACTATTCCTCATCCATAAAATTCGATCAAGTAGGGCTGTTGCTCTGGCAGACGAAGAATACAGAGATATCAGGCATACAAATAAGAGGCAACTCCCATAAAAACTTCCCATATGAGGCAACACCCTTAAAAACTTCCCATCCTCCTACGCAGCCTCATATTTGTTATAGAGTTGAAATAAGACCAGTTGTTGTTCATGGTGTAGAAATAAGACCAGAGAAGCTGTAGAAAGAATTTTTTTTTTTAATAAATATAAACACAAAAAAAAAAAGGATAAGTGCAGACGAAAGGGTGAGGTTATAAAGGCATAATCTCAAAGGTCATTTGAAATAACTAATCTAGTACTTGACTTTTATGAAATAGATTATTTCTTATCATATGGAATACTTTTTCTATAAACTTATTTTTTATTATATAATTTTGTGTTAAAAGACATTATTTACTATTTGAATGAAAAAATACCTAAGAAAAGGAGAGTGGATACCACTCCCAATAAATTTGGGATTCAGGCTACACAACGTTGGTTGATGCGAGAGAGAAGATTCTCAATCAGGCCATATCGGTATACCAAGCAAAGATACAGGTCAGGGAAGTTTCCATGCTCATTTATTAGCACAGAAAAGAAAGAGGAAATCATGGGCTCACCAGAGAAGGAGGGCAACCACCCTTACCAAAATCCCACGTTTCACTCTGATGCCTCATTCTTGAGCTGATACCGGCCAATAAAACGGCATACATAACTAGTTAAATGCATCATAACTTGTAATCAAAAGGGCATATATCTCCCACATCGAATCTTGGAAAAGATATATTATCTTTAGCAACTTGAGGCTCAAATGTCTTATGATAAGGCAAAAGAGAAGCCAGCCACACCGCGGCTGCAAAACACCAGTGGCATGTGAGAGAAGAGTCTCAATCACAGACCATACCGGGTGGCAATGCCAAGATTCAGGTCAGGTAATCTCCATGCCTGAATTGGTTAGCTCAGAAACAAGAAAAATAATCATCATTTGCCTCTTTCAGTGTTCTCAAACCCATGAGGAGATAGACTGAAGATCTGAAGGTCACATATTTGTTGTAGTATAGTTGTCTGCTCAGGTTTTGAGTATACATTAGGAGTGCAAACAAATGCAACAACCAAAAAAAAACAGGAACTGAAGTGTTCTTTGTCTTTCTCTCTTTCTTTTTTTAAGGGTTGTTGGTTTGTTAAAAAATGGACAATCATGGCAAAGCAGAGGGGGCAACCACCCTTGAAACAAATCCCATACTCTCTCTGTCGCCTCATTCACGCCATAATTTCTGGCCAGTAATTACTTATAAACGGAGGCTCACATTTGTGCTAAAATCAAGAGGAGGCAAGGAAAGCGCCATGGCTGCAGACCTCGGTTACAACCACGGAGATGTCTTCCGAGATGCCTTTCATCATCAGAGCCTCATCTGTCACATTAACAATAATAATAGCTAGCCATGATGAAGAGGAAGAGGTGAACAAGAAGATGAAGATGAAGCTGAAGCAGAGCGTGGATTCAGATATTACACCCTTAAACTGTAAAAGGAATTTTTCGTGCAAGTTTAGCGGCAAACTATGTATTGAACCATTTCAACAATGGTGGTTTATTTTACTTTTTTTCCTTGTGAAAATAGAAAAGGAAATCATAGGCAAAAAGAACAGAGAGGTGGCAGCCACCATTACAGACTCCCCACTGCCTCTCTGCTGCTTATTTTAAAGAAAACTCTTATTATCTCCTCCCTTTACTTTTATATCCTTGCTTTTACCTCGTATTAGCAAATAGTACGACACTGAAAGAAGACACGATATCAGTGCAATTTAGTCATTCAACACTCCATCTAAATTTGTTTAAATTTATTTTTCATCTCTTCGTTCTTAATTTGTACTTTTTTCTAGGCTGATTTTTTGTGTTGTCAACAGTCCAAACTTCACAGAAAATTTTCGTGACAAACATCGCTCTTACTATTGTGATTTTAAAAGGGAAAGGAATATGACCAATAAAGCAGACCAGATTGTCAATGACCATGATAACATCAACAGGGCATTAAAGAAAGGCTCTTTCTTTGACAGTACCAAACACTGAGAAATCATTGGCATGCAGATGGGAGGCAACCATTTAGAAACTGCCCATTGCTATGCTGCCTCATTCACAATCTTGAGCGTTTTACTTATTCTTGGTTGGGGACATAAGAAGTAGGCTCAGATCTGTCACAAAATCGGGTAAGGGAAGGGACACCGCCATGGCTGCAAACCAGAATAGCATAAAACACCACCAACAACAACAACAACAACCACCATCCCAATCACAATCTAGTTGGGTGAGCTAAATGAATCCCAATCAACTCCATTAGGACCTATTTCGTCCCAATACTCATTACGCTGGTTACAACACATCTTGGTTTGCCCTGCCAAGATACGGGCCCAATTGCCCAAAATCCGATTAACTCAAAAAAGTTATATCATCATAGCCTACAGATAAGCATCATCAATGATGCTCAGAATGATTCTGATTTATGAAAAGGAAAAAATTAATGACCAAGAAACCAGAAATAAAGAGGACACAGCATACTGTGAATAGCCACAGCAGTATCAACATGACATGCAGTAGAATAAGAGTACAGCACCTGTACGTAAACAAAAGAAAACGATTCAAGAAAAAAGTGTGGCAACAATTTTAATATTCCAGTACTTGTATAAAATTGATCATATCTCAATATGTTCATAACCAAAAGAAAAAAGAATACCCCAGATTCTAGAAACATTATATTTTCTTGTTAACAACATTAGTAAGTCAACGAAAATATCCCCTGGTTCTTCTATCTCTAGTTTCCAGTTTCCTCCCATAACCTAAAATGTCAAATGCCCAATAATTCACTGTTTCAGTCCAATAAGTCAATGGAAACTTTAACTTAATAAAAAACTTCCTTCATGCAAATACCTTTATTTAAAAAAATAAAATCGTTTATTATGTAATCATAAAAGTGACTGAAAAAAGAAAGGTATTGTATATTTGAAACTATAATGACTCCATCTGTACAGAAATCTCTAAACAGAGGAATTCTGAAAACTAAAGCGAAACAAAATGTAACGTCATTAAAGGAATTTTGAAGTTATTGAACATAAGTTGTATTCTTTATTTTTAGAAAATTTTGAAAACCCCTTTTTACTGGCGTTTCCTCTTTACCTTTTCTTTTGAGGCTCAGATCTGTGACATGATCAGGGCAAAGGAGACAAAGCAACCGCCATGGCTGCAAACCTCGGTTGCACAATAAAACAGGCCTTCCGCGTCGGGTCGCCCCGCCAAGATACGGGCCGCTCCATTGCCCCGACAGAACTCTAGACAACCTCAATCATCACAGCCTCTCATCCTTTGAGAAGAATGGGTAAGATCTTAAACCCTAAACCCTTCTTCCTATATATAAAATTGCACGGTACAGACCTCAAGGTGCTTGCTGCAAGGCTGGAGGCGGGCATGCATTGGGGGGAAGCCAGCATGCTGCGCGGGTACTTGGTATGTAAATGTACTCAAACATTAACCAAACAGTTCCTTAAGATGAATGGTGGTTTAGTTTACAAAATGGAAAAGGAAATCTTAGGAAGAGAGAGGGGGCAACCACCATTAGAGACTCCCAACTGCCTCTCTGCCTGCCTCATTCTTTGCGTCTAGACTTCACAATAATCTCGAGTCACATAGAGGTGGATTTTATACTGTAGTACTCTATTGTGTCTGCTTTTTACTTTTACGTCCTTGCATTTTACCCCAATTTCCAAAATCTCTTTAGTCAAATCTATCCTTATACTTTCGGATATCGTTCATATTTAACCTTTATATACTATCCGGTCAAACTTACCTTTACCGTTATGCTATCCGACCAAATTTACCCCTACCATTAGAAAACTTTTAAAAATTATCACTTGATTATTAAGTAATCCAAAATCTCCCAATTTCCTTTTATTTAAACAACTTGTTATTCTTCTTGTTCCACTATTTTCAGAAATTATTATTGATATGAATGCTAAAGGTACTAGGCTATACAAATTATTCATGGATAGTTTTTTTTTTGGGTTAAAGGGAGAACATATTATTGCATACTAAAGGGTTACCGTAGAGCTACTGGTTACATGACCACTATCATGGATAGTGATTATACTAAGGTTACCAAGACTTGCCAATTTATTACAAACAGATACTGATACTATTCTAGTAGTGGTTAGACCTCCTTTGTCCGCTTGAACCATTGCCAAAACAGAATCTGGAGTGGTTGTCATAATTAACAGGTGGTTACACATGGCTTGCTTGGAACCTTGTCTTGCCAAAATGTGTGCTTGGAACCTTATTTCCCTCACGGAAACTGTGCCGGACCACTAGACACCCCAACCTCCTCAACTGGTTTCTGCATGAATCACCACTTATTCTTGTGATAGTGAGTTTAGAATTGGTTTAAATTTTATTTATTTTTCAACCATATACACACTGTCGAATTCAATGGGTCTATTAATTGTTGATCATTATGTATGTATATGTATATTCGAATATATTTTGTTATTATATAGTTAATGCAGAATTCGATCGACTAACTTAAAAGTGCATAATGTGTAGGAATTTGATTAAAGCAAAGTTAAATCCGACAATGTAAAGTCTCCACGGAACCTCAACTTCTATCATTAATACTTGCAAAGTCTCCATACCCTTGGTGCAATGAATTCATTAAAGTTGGGATGTTGTAAATACTTTTGAAATTTAGAAAAGCTACCTAATTTAATTAGTTTATTCAATTTTCTATACTTTGTTTACTAACAGTTGTATTATTTTGATATTTCTTTGTCTTTTTTTTCAATTAAGAAAGCAGGTAAATGCCAATTATTTTGAAAATAATGGATCAAGAAGAAAAATAAGTGACTTAATTAAAATAATTTGGGAAATTCTGGGTCACCTGACGGACTGAGGGTAATTTTTAAAAGTTTGCCAATGGTAGGGGTAAATTTTGTCGAATAGTATAACGATAAGGATAAATTTTGCCAAATAGTATAACCGATGTTAAATGTAGACAATATCTGAAAGTATAGTGGTATATTTGGCCCTTTTCCAGACATTTATCTTCTATTAGACTTGGCTCTAGTTTTCACTTATAGCTTATTTGGCCAAACTGCAAAAATTAACTTATTTTGATAAGTGCATTTTCTTAAAAGTACTCTTGGTGAGAAGCAGTTGTGTTTGGCTAATCAATTTAAAAAGCACTTCTAAGCAACAATTAATATTTGGCCAAACTTTTAAAAACTACTTCTAAGTATATTTTTCACAAAAGTTCTTTTGGAAAGAAGCTATTTTTTTATGTTTTTTCAAAACGACTTCTACTTCTCCTCAAAAATATTTTTTTTTTCTTCCAAAATCTTGGCCAAACACTTTAACTTTGAAAAAAAATACTTTTTAAAAGAAAATTACTTCTAGGATTAGAGAACCTTGGCCAAACAAGCTATTAGACAGCTCAACTAAAGACCAATAGCTATTGAACACTCTAACTCCAATAAGGTGTACCTATTGAACACCTCAGGCTGAAGTGGCACAATGAGTAATACTCACTCCAATTTGAGCCCGTCCGTAAGTGAAATGTAACCTTATTTTGATTCTTTTTATTTTTTGCTTCTACCTTTTTGGTTCTTTTACTTCTATCTTCTTTGCATCTAATTCAACTTTCATCAATGACGGTTTTTACTTTTTCTGTTCCTTCCCAAATGAAATTAATAGAGCTCATCTCCTTTCTAATGTTTCATCGACATAACCACTCAAAATACAGCCTATGCATACTATTTAGACGCAGACATTGTTAATCATTCACCATCATATACATACACAATACAACTCCCTCCCATTTTCACTCAATATGCAGCTAAATCTCTTCATCATTCTCACATCCCTTATTCCCTAACTAGGAACTAACAAGCCCCATCAATTTATAGCCACTTTCGTTCGGGCTACTGTGAACTCTTTCACCTGCATGGAATGCACCATCGCATTTGCCCAAGTTGAAAGTTATATTGATAATTCTAGTTCTAATTTATCTAATGAAAAATGGGTTTTAAATCAACTGAATAATTTAGTTTTTTCGAATGGGTTGATTTTATTATTGAAACGAGAAGGGTCAGTGTTTTGGCTGCCATGGATGATGAATTCTTCAAGGTTTTCAACGTTTGCAGAAAAATATCGTGGTTGGACAAATTTGGAGGTCCATTTTATTGAATTCTTCAAGCTTGTGGTTTTAATTTTTTCAAGCTTTTATGGTTCAAAGAGGCAAATTTAGTAAAGCAAAAAATTAAAAAATGGGTTTAAGATTGGGGGAAGGGGAATCGATAAAGAAGACCATTTGAAGAGAAGGAGATAAGAGGAAAATGGGAGAGAAGAAAAGGAAAATATAAGGAAAAAGGGACGAATAAGCACAAGTCAATTTCAAAATTGGCATTTTGCCACGTCAGCATGTGTAAGTATCATGCGTGTAAATTTTTATTATAGATCATTTTAATATGTTCAATAGGTATGCTTTTGTTGGAGTTGGAGTGTTCACATAGGTTGTATTTTTTTAAGGGTGGTTCTCAACTCTAGGCATTTCAAGCTCAAGTTTAAATGTTCAAAATGCTCCAAAGGGTCTATGCCAACCATACCCACAAGTCATAAATCTCCAAATGAACCTAAAGGAAGACTCAAATAGAGGAACAAGATTCTAGAACTTAAAACGACTATGTGATCGTTATAAGCATTGTATTTATTGTATGTGGACTAACTTGAGCTTGAATCTTGAAGGAGAAGAACAAATGTAACGACTCAGACAGTCATTTTGAGAGTATTAGCTCTGAACGCCTATTTATTGCTCCCTCTATTTCATCTTATGGTATGTGGCTCACCGGGAGGTTTGGTTTTTGGTTTTGAAATCTTATAGGACACTTAGTCCCTAAAATGGAAGCGTAAGTTCTAAAAAATTGACTGTAGCTTGAATTGTGTAAAGACGAATTCATAATAGAGTTTTGTCGGTTCCAATAGATCTGTAGGTTGATTTTGGTCTTAGAAGCGTTTCCAGATGTTGATTTGGAGGTCCATAGGCCATTTCGGCGTTAATTGGCGAAAGTTGGAAAATTGGATGATTTTTTGAGAAGTTTGACCTGGGGTGGACTTTTTGATATCGGGGTCGGATTTTGATTTCGGAATTTAGAACAGGTTTGTAATGTCATTTATGACTTGTGTACCAAATTTGAAGTCAATCGGACTTGATTTGATAGGTTTCGGTGTCGAATGTTGAAGTTTGAAGTTCTAAAGGTCTTTAAGCTTGAATTGGGGGTGCGATTCGTGTTTTTAGCGTTAGTTGATGTGATTTGAGGGCTTGACTAGGTTCATATGATTTTTTAGGATTTTTTGGTATTTTGGGTTGAGATCCCGGGGGCTTCGGGTGTGATTCGGATTATTATCGGATCATTTTTGGATTTAGAGGGATGGCTGATGCTCAACTGTTCTGGTGTCGCAGCAGTGGTGGGGTTCGCCGCAGGTGCGAACTCGCACGTGCGAGCGGAGGACCGAATATGCGGCCATGGTTGAGGTGGCCAGTGGTCGCAGGTGCGACGTGAAGACTACATAAGCGGAGTCGTTCCTATGGAGGGTGATCACAGAAGCAAAAAATGAGTTGAAAGGGGAAGTCCGCAGAAGCGGACAATGTCCGCAGATACATTTGCGCAGAAGCGCTAAAAGGTACGCAAATGCGATCCTTCTGGGCTTAAGTTGGACCCGCACCTGCGATAGTATTTCCGCAGGTGTGGAGCCGCAAAAGCGAAATCGCTGGGCAGAAAAAGGCCAAGTTTGAGGGCTTGATCTCATTTTTATTTTGGGACTTAGAGAGCTTGGTTTGAGGCGAACATTTGATAGTTTTTTAGAAGAAACATTTGGGTAAGTATTCTTGACTTGTTTTTAGTTAATATCCACTAATCTATCGTTAATTTCTTCATTTACTTAAGGATTTGGGGTGTGAAATTTGGAGGAAAATGGTACAAGTTCTTAGACCAAATTTTTGGGATTTGAAAGGTGATTTGAGGTTGGATTTGAGTAATTTTTGGTATGGTTGAACTCGATATCAAATTGGTGCTCGTATTTTATGACTTTTATCCGATTTCGAAACATGGGCCCCGGCCGACTTTTTGGGGCGATTTCCTAATTTCTTGTTAAAGTCGTGATTTCTTTATTTAGATTAGTTTTTTTAATAGTATGTAATTGCTTTTGGCTAGATTTGGGTCATACAGAGTCGGAAAGTCGAGGGAAAGGCATCCTTATTGACTGATTGAGCTTAATTTGAGGTAAGTGACTTATCTAACCTTGTGTGGGGGAAATTTTCCTTAGGTTTTTACACTGTTGTGATATTTGAAATACTTGAAGGGCGTGTACGTGAGGTGATGAGTGCGTACACGGGTTATATGTTGAGAAATCTGGTTCTTGCTGAGTAGTTCTCTCTCTTAATTCCTTATCTGAGTTGTCCTAGCCTGTGTAGTCATCATGTTTGGCCTAATGTTGCATGCATACTTGTTTTAAACTCTTACTTGCAATTTATGCAACATGCCTAATTGAATTACATGTTTTCTTGAATTTTATTCAGTCTTTAAGTAGGATTGCTTATTGTAAATT